TGCATTATTTTATTTAATCCTTACCATAGTCTAATGATCTGTTTTATGAAGGAAAAAAATGGAGCGCAGAGAAGATGAGTGACTGCCTACAGTCATGTAACTAATAAGTGGTGAGTTCAACCTTAAGTTGTAACTCCAAATAGACAGGGTCATGGTGGCAGAGCTAGGAGGAGAATCCAGGTCTTTGAGCATCCTTTTTCATCACCACCACTATCTCCAAATATAGCTGAAGAGATAACAAAATGTAACTGACTGTAATAAATAAGGACTCACAGAATAACAAAGAAATTCATCACCTTAATTTACAGAAATCAGAGAAGACTTGATCCAAAGAAGCCAAATTTAAACCAGACTGTCCTCCTTGACCTCTAAACTCAGACCACTTGGCTTCTCCCTCATCATGCTATTGTTTGTGACCGTAGGATATCCTGTCTTACTTGTAGCAAAAAATTTATTATTTAGTAATTTAACAGTACCCAGTCTGGTTCAGCTATTCAGCAGCCTTTGCCGTGTTTCACTAAACTGTGGGCTAGTTAATTTGCAATTACACTATCTTTGGGTTTCAGCATTAAACCCCAGATGTCATGTTTCCAGGTTTCCAACTTGGACCTAAGCCAAGCTAGAAGAGACATCCACGCAAGGCAGATGGCTGATGAGGAGAACATGTGCAGTGAACTGGGGGACTCGGTCCAGTTGCTTAAACCTCAGGCTCTGCGCCCCCAAATCTAGTGCCTTAGAACACATGGGGACCCTTGGCGGGAGTGGAGGATAAAGAAAAGCTACCACATTTCCCACTACATCCACTCCTCCCCCAAAACACCCACATTTACTCTGGTTTTTTCAAAAAATAGAAATTCCCAGTAAGTTATTCATCACAACTTATAATGTACTAATTTCATTTGATAAGTAAATTGTCAACAGCCTTTAAAAATTGGTCATATAATTAGTAAATCTATGCATTCAACCTCCTCTTCTATCTAGATGAAATAGTCATGAAGCTGGACTGTAATCAGACAAAAAGAATCTTAAAACCTTCCGGGCATTCATTTTTGATCTATTATTTGCTTTTTAATTGCTACCTTTTTCTTTTTTGGCAATAGTGGAGGTAAATGCTCCCTTTTTTTTTTTTTTTTTTTTTTAAGAATTTAGCTTGTACTAAAATTTATAATGAAAGTTCCTTCTGGAAACCTATTAAATATGAGAATCAAAATTATTTTGTTAAAAATCTATGCATTATTTTTTTATACAGAGATGCTCACAGTAGTAAAATTTTGGAAATATCCTAAATCTATAAAACAAAGGGAAGGATTAAGTAAATTAGATATTCCATTCAATGGAGCAGCCATTTAGAATTGTTTACCAAGAGGTTTTAATAACATCCAACAACAGGATACAGAGTTGTGTATATATATATATATACACACACACACACACACCACAAACACAACTTCAGGTTTGTTTGTTTTTTAGTTAAGCACATATACATAAAGTCAAAGTCTGAAAGGAAAATATCCAGAATTAATAGTGGTTATTTGATAGGTAACAGGCTTGTGAGTGATTTTAATTTGTTTATATGGTTTATATTTTTTGAGTTTTCCAGGGAGTATAAATTATTATAATAATTAAAAATGCATGTGTGTTTGTATATATTTTAATGTAATCATTCAACACTTCAGCTGCTTAGAGCTCAGCTATCTTAAAAATCTGGAACATTGCTAAGATCCTGGAAGTAATAAAAAAATTAATTTTGAGCCGCCAAAACTAATGTTACAAAACTCATGTAATAAAGCATATTATGCCCAGGACATCTGCTGGCCCATCACTCAAATCCTATCTACTCTTACTTTGCACACAATTCTCAGGACATCTGCTTTATAAGAACACAGCAAATTAGAAGCAAACATTAAAAAAAGAGAAGCCCCCACAGGCAAGATCACAGACATAGCCACGCTGACAGCGTGGCAGTGAGAGAGGGCGCAGAAAAGCTTACGTGCACACTGAGAGCCCTCAGAATCAGGCCTGGAAACATGCCCTGAAAATCCTATGGTCTCGTTATTACGTCATAGTTTAGTATCTTCACATTGATGGCCCACAGGTATCAAGGAAATACCTTTTTGTTCAACTTACTCTTTTTAAGATTATAAGGAAGACTTTAATAATTTTTTGAAAGATTTCATTGCACATGGCTAAAAGTGGAAAAAAAGACAAAATGTGATTAAAGGGTAAACTTTAGGTATGTAGACTTCCTTATTGTCTATTCATAATAACTCATTTTCTTACTGTTCTTAAGAAGGAATATTTTACTGTTACTTGGGTTTTCCAAATTGTATCTGAAACTGGCATTACATGGGTTTTCATAGAAAGCCAAGGAAACTGGAGAAGAATATCATAAAATCAAGATGTCAGAAAATACCAAAGTCTCTACCTCTCAAAGCCTTAGAATCCATCCATTAAAATAGGAATAACACCTCAGAGCTTAGATATGGGTTGGGCAGGTTAAATGAGAAGGCCTGTAGAATGGCATGTAGCCTGATGCCTGGCATATCATTGGCACGTAGCAAATGTTAGTTGGATTTGAATATGAGTTTCCCATGTGGATGCAACAGACTGCGTGGGCTCTGGAGTCAGACGAATTTAGTTCAGTTGTGGGTTCTGCAACCCTGAACAAATCACATAACCCACCTGCCTGCCTACCTTTTCCACAGGGTCCATGTGAGTGTTCAAATTATTGATGTGCAGGAACATGGTACTTCCCTTCCCATTGTAGTTGTGGGGAGGGACGTCACACTTTATTACTTTTCTGCTGTGTAAAATTGAGGAGAGCTTTCAAGGAGTCTCAAAATCAAAAAGGGCTACAAAATCCCTTTCCTCTTTTGTCATAACCACTGATTGTTGTGCCCTGGCCTGTTCTCTTGCCCTGCCCTTTATCAGCCCCCCCCCCCCTGGAGCCCAGCAGAGAAGCAGAGCAATATGCCCAAGGGGCGGGGTGGGGGAGGGGTGGTGGCAGGGAGCAGTACACCTCGTTCACCGTTCGTAGCTGTGAGTGGTTAAGCACCTGGCCTCTAGTCGCATGCCGGCAGTTATCACCTTCAGTGTTCCAGGCTGGTTCACCTGGTGCTTCCCACCTCACCTGGGCTGGGGTTGCAACTGAAGGCCTGGCCTTTCTGCCTAGAATAGGCTGTCCGTGGGTGGTGCTGAGGCTCTGTTTTGGTTTGGTAACCTAGGCCCCTTGCAAAATCATTTAGAGAGGGACACTGTCAGCAAGCGGTAGATTGAAAACAGCAAGGTTCGCAAAAATGTGTAGCTTACCCAATTACTGTGAGTTTTGACAATATATTAACTGAAAACCTAGATTAAAGCCAGCAGATTTTGCTCTGTTTTGTTTTGTTTTTCTTGAGAACTAAAAACAGTAATTTACTTGTCTACTTGCCTAGTTCTATATGCACCCCAGTGACCACCCCTAATTATGAATTCTCTCCTGGCACCAACACTTATAGCCAAGCAAGGGAGTCTGACAGGCCCACGGATTAGGAGCCTTGTGGTTGCGTTTTCTCAAGAATGAGACCATAGGGATAATCCAGCATCAGAAAAACAATCTGAGAGAAGAGGGAGCAGGGAGCTGGTTAAAGGGCTGTGGACACAGGTAGAAGGAATCCTAGATCCTTTTTTTTCAGGGCACTTATCGCAGTTGTAATTTGAAAATGTATTATTTCAGTAATTACAGGTGTCTTTCTCTTGCAAGATTGGAAGCTCCTTAGAGGCAGGGCCTGCTCTATCTTGTTTCTATCTGTTTCTATCTGTTTTCCCCCCCCAAGGCCTGGCACATGTAGTAGCTATTTGTTGGGTGGGTATAGTTTCAAGTTGAGCCTCTACTCCTGCCTGGTAGTGGCCTTTTGCAAGCCACTTCTCTGTGTGTGTTTCCTCATCTGAAGAACACAAGTCAGATGGATCTTGTGTTTGCACCTCCCTCTGTCTCTGGACCCAGTCTGTTCATATCGTTGTATTGAAGCTGACTAGCTTCCAAACAAGTATAATATCAAGAACTGATCAGTACTCCAGGGGTGGCTTAACTAGCACAGTATATAACATGACCATCGTTTCTAGGGTATGGATACTCTATTTCCATTAACTAATTATTATTTCAGACTTAAGAATAATAATGTGTACCCTGCTTTCTTGACAAGGTTTTCGTGAGGACCAAGTGAAATGATGTATATGAAATTACTTCAGAAACTAAAAGGCTTTGTATAGCTAAACAATGATTATTATTGTTTACCCAAAAGTATCTTCCTGAGAAGTAACTCAGGATCAAAAGAAGACTAAGTATTGCAAAACAAGTGTGTGACTAGCCTTATAAAGGAGAAGTCATTTCCCAAGTTAATTTTTCATTAAAAAAGTATGTATATGTATGTATCTCCTTGGTCCTCTGTCTGCCAGTTCTCTGATGCAAAGTGATTAGCATTTGGGTATTGGACAAGCTATTGATGATTGAGTCGTGAGTCATGGGTTTTAGTCTAGCCTTGCCACTGCCTCACTGAAGTATCATGGGCAAGTCATTTAACTTCTCTGCCAAATGAGAATACCTGCTTTATGAAGATAAAATGAGAGTTGAATATTAAGAACAAGAATGAGGATATTGATAGCTCTTCACATATATGAAGTTGATTACATCCCTCGTATATTTTTCTTTCCAGACCCAGTCCCTCCAGTTACTTCAACTCTTCCCCATATGACATGATTTCTATCCCTCATCCCACCCTGGGCACTCTCCTCTGGATATTTTTCAGTGTCTTGTATCTTTCTTGAAGGAAGCTCCCAAAGTTGAAGTCAGAATGCTTCATGTTGTTTCTTCCATTTGGACCCTACAATTAATACTAAGATTGACTATTATCAAGTTTTATTATCTCAAACCTAAATATACTGTTTCCTTTCTTTGAATCCAGAAGGCTTAAGCTAAGTTCTGAAGTTGAAAGTAACTTCGCTTTTTGTTTGTCTTCTAGCGACAGACACCACACCTCAAGTGCAATCCCTGTTCCAAAGAGACAAAGCTCCATATTTGGGGGCGCAGATATAGGCTTCTCTGGGGGGATCCCTTCACCAGACAAAGGACACCGAAGACGGGCCAGCTCAGAGAATGAGAGACTCCAGTACAGAACCCCTCCTCCCAGTTACAAGTCAGCATTAGCGCAGCCTGTGACCACCATCCCCTCCCTCGGAGAATCTGAGAGAAAGACAACGTCTCTGTCCTCCTCCCTCGATACCTCCTTGGACTTCTCCAAAGAAAACAAGAAAAAAGGAGTAGATTTGGGTGACAGCTTAAATGGAGGCCCTGTGAGTGCGAACACTAGCCAAGAGCAAGGAGAAGCCCTGTCTGGACACCCAGCTACTGTAAACGGCACTCTCTTACCCAGCGAGCAGGCGGGCTCCTCCGGCGTCCAGCTTCCAGGTGAGTTCCACCCGGTCTCGGAAGCCGAGCTCTGCTGTACTGTGGAGCAAGCCGAAGAGATCATCGGAATGGAAGCCACAGGTTTCACCTCAGGCGATCAGCTAGAAGCATTTAACTGCATCCCAGTGGACAATGCCGTGGCAGTGGAGTGTGACGAACAAGTTCTGGGAGAGTTCGAAGAGTTCTCTCGAAGGATCTACGCACTGAATGAAAACGTATCCAGCTTCCGCCGGCCGCGCAGGAGTTCTGATAAGTGAAGTGAGCAGACTGACTGTAGGACCAGGGCAGGGTCACTGCCTAAAATGAAGATACTGCTGCACTGGTTACCCTTTCTAATAATTATGACATAAAACGAATATTAATGGAGGATATTCCTCGGAAAAACAGACTCTGTGAATCGAGGAGGGACTCAGGATCATTGTGTATCAGTGGGCCCGACAAAGTTAGATTTTGCTTGCAGGATTTGCTTTTCAGGCCTGATGATTGTTTTAAGGCAAAAGTCACGCTCTAGCTTGAGTCACCTTATAGGTATTTGTCTGCTTTTTTATTTACACTTGTATGTTATCCTCAGAGGGAAGATGATAATATATAAATAATATAATGAACTCACCTTTAGTTTCTCCTAAGCATTTGCCCTCACCATAGTTTATAAAACTTTGGGAAAATTGAATATTCAGAAAAAGATTTCCACCATTTACTGAAGGATCTTTAGCCATCCATTAGGTTGACGAATAAGAAGCACAATGGTCTCCTCATACCCAGAGCCATCTGACCCTGCCCCTGCCCCTGCCCGCAGGCTCCACAGTCAACCTATAGATTCCACTGTTGCCCCATCTTCCCAGTGGATGGGTTGTGCATCCTGAAAACTGAGGACATCAGATTCACTGGTTCTTTATTGCAATAGCCATGACCTTCCACCTCCTCTAATCAGCCATACCCTTGAGATGTAGCCCTCAGATTAAATGAAAAACCTCACCTCTGGTGGATCCCAGAGAACCCTCCAGGACCCCAAGGTTACTACAGTCAGGTGGCATCCCAGCGCCCTTTAGGGACCAAAGTTTTTATGTGGGCGGATGCTGCAGTCAAAAACTAGGCATGCTTTCTGGCAGTGCACTCACCAGACAAAAATCCCTATGTATAAATCCCATGTTAATTTATTAAATTTCATTTGAAAAGGAAGGCATTGTATATGGTGAAATATTTGTAGAGAGTCAGGCTGTCCCGTGTACAAACTGTAAGGCAGTTGAGATAGTTGGATTAAAAGACTAGATGAGGCATAGAATACTATTGGTATGTGTGCAATTGCATAAATATTAAATTATGTTTTTGAAGTCCAATTGTCATTCCTGGAGCTCACATTTTATTTGCTATTGCTTTATACTTTATATACCCAAGGACATTGCCTCAGGGTTGCAAGCTCTTTAAGGAAAATTTATCCATATATCCATGTATTGTATAGAAGAATAAAAATTGAGTTTACTTCACTTGACCTGATTTTTTTTTCCAGCATTGAAATTCCTCCTGAACCTACATCTCCATATGTTACATCATGACAGGACTAGCCTGAACAAAAACCATGGCTGTATCTAAGCTAACGGTGTTGACTTGGTTTGCATTTACAGATTGTGTATAGCAACACACACACCTTCAGGTGTCGTAGCTGTGTTTGTCCTACATAACAACGTAGTTCATAGGTTTCATCATCATTTTCATATTTTGACCAAGCACTCCTGGGTTCAATTTTAATTTATAGCTACATTGTGAAACGGAATAGTTCATGTTGTTATTTTCCATGTAAAGAGAACTCACAGAATCATTGCATGACAGAGCCAACCTGCAAACAATTAAAAGCTTTAACTTGAGCTGAAGAAATCCATATAAATTCCACATAAAGAGGTGGGACTCCTCCAAAACTGGCGCAGAAGCCATCTGTAGAGTCACAGCTGCTTTGCAGTGTGCTGTCATTCATTTTAGAATCAAAGAGGGTGGAGAGAGACACGGTCTTGGATATACATCAGACTGGTGTGTGGGGTCCTCCAATGGAGTAACATCTACCTCACCACCACCAAAAAAAAGGTTTTTGAAGGACGATGTTAGTGTTTGAGAATGAGAGGAGAATCACATGTGGTTTGTGATTTCCCCCAATATGGGAGTGGACTTTGAACTTCATGCCAAACTCAAAGACAAGGTGCATTCAGCTGCAGGCCCTCCAGCCTGGCTCCTGGCACCACCAAGCAGAGGGACCAGGTACAGAGCACCCATGGTTACACTGTTCATCTCAGGTTTCATGCAACCAGATATACCTCTGGGGATCTATCCATCAGTCTCGCATTTGTGGACTCCCTGATTCTCAGGTTCACAGCTCTTCACCCCCAGAGCATGGAGCCCTGCCTTTGAATGTGATTAGATTGCGCAGAACTGGTCAGTAGTTACCTACACATTTCCTTGGTCCACACTGTGTCCGATGATGTTATGCCTCAAGACACCACTTAGGTTTGGGTTTGTTTAGTTTGGGTTTTGTGTTTTCTTTTGAGTTTGTTTGATGTCTGCAGTTTCTGCCATGACCTGGATAGAACCTGCAGTATTGCGTGTCTCCAGGAGTAACTCTGTTCAACATTTTCCATTGCTACAGAATTAGTTTTGCCTCTGTTTCAAGTGGCCACGGCCAAATATGGGATGAGTTATTATCTCCTACTAATCTTTTTAATGAGTCTTGTAAATCACTAAAAAACAAAATTGGCTTTGAGGATATAAGTTGAAATGAAAACTCACTACTATCCATTTCTGAACTGCTAAGAGCCCTTTCAGTTTTCATGTAGCCGAGACACTTTTAACAGCTGGCAAATGTTATCAAATGAATCTTTGATTGTGTTTTCTCTCTCCTCTTCCCGTTACCCACTTTAGAAATTCCAGAGATTTTTTCCCCCCTCAGAATATTAGTGTTGGACAATTGTATCCAGCTATATTTTTTTAGCAGTTCTAATGGTGCCCATTTATCCTGACCTAACCGGTTATTTAAATAATTTTTTAAACCACCACCAATAATAAATGGCATGTGAAACTGGTCTGCTGGTAATTGGAAGAAAACTCAGCATCTGTATTTATAAAATAAAATTGATTAGTATTTATTTTGAGAGTAAAAGTGTACATTATTTCCCTGCTATGTTTGAGTCCTGTCTTCTTCATTGTTTTAAATTTCATAGTGAAGCTGAGTTAACTATGAAAACCTTGTTCTCAAATAGCCAGCCATTCTGCTTTTATTGAGCTAGAGCACTCTCTCTGTTTCTCTCTCTCTGCCAGGGACTGGGCTAAACAAAGTTAATACAAAATTAATAAGCCTCAACCTCTGCCACGTACTCTGGGGGGGGGGGGGTGGCATAGATATCTTAACACTTAATTATAACTCGTGTGATAAATTCTATGATGGAGAGATGTATGGCCATGCTATGGAAGGCAGAGAAAGCTGCTCTGATTCAAGGATCAGGAAAGGTTCATGGAAGTAATGCAGATGAAAGATGTGTAAGATTTCACATTACAGATGGAGAGAACTGTATGGACAAAGGCCCAGAGGCGAGGCAGGGCCTCAGGTGTGTTTGCAAAACAGCAAGGAGTTTGCTGTGCTTAGGGCTGAATGGATGTGAAGAAAGAGGAGAGGAGAAATTGAATTGCAGGCTGATGGAGAAGGACTTAAGATGCCTCGTGAAGAGATTTGGGTGTGTGGTACCCTTCCCAGGCTTTAAACTGAAGAGTAACTTGGTTAGATCTGAATTATGACTAGCAGCCAAGTTGAGGCTGGACTCTAATGATGCTTGCTTGAGTCTGTTTAATCTTTCTCTTTTTGTTTAGAAAAAAGAAATCTGTCTGAAAAAGAGGTGCATCCTTGTGTCCCTAATGTTTTCAGGGTAAATATTGAATAAGGAACTGGGTTTTTACCGTGTGGTACAAGGAGTGCGGCCAACATCTGTTCTTTAGAAGCTTCATGTCAGCTACTTTGAAGCCATGACTCTGGTCAAGTCATTGAACTTTTAAGGACCCCCGTTTTTTTGTTGTTGTTTTTTTTTTGTGAGGAAGATCAGCCCTGAGCTAACATCCGTGCTAATCCTCCTCTTTTTGCTGAGGAAGACCGGCTCTGAGCTAACATCTATTGCCAATCCTCCTCCTTTTTTTTTTTCCCCAAAGCCCCACTAGATAGTTGTATGTCATAGTTGCACATCCTAGTTGCTGTATGTGGGACGCGGCCTCAGCATGGCCTGAGGCCGGAGAAGCGGTCCGTCGGTGCGCGCCCAGGATCCAACCCAGCCCGCCAATAGTGGAGCACGCGCACTCAACCGCTAAGCCTCGGGGCCGGCCGAGGACCCCCGTTTTTTTAATCAGTAAAAAGTTGGAGAGAATTCTGCCCTTGCCATTCAGTTTGTATGGGGCCTACACCATCAACGTTGGCCCCCTTTTGTCCTGTGGGAGGCCGCTGCGTAGTGACGGACTTCTTAGCCCCATTCCCTGTTCCAGCCACTTAATCTCTCTGAATCTGGCTCCTAATCTGTGAAGTAGGGATAATACCCATCCACTCCCAGCGTTGGATAAAGTGTTAGAAGAGATGAATATTTTTATGAAAACACTTAACGATCTTTACAAAGCCCCATGCGTGCTGGGAGGAGTTTGTCATTCAGCAGGGTTTTCTTACATCATGTGTATCAGGCTTTGGTGGGACAATTGTGATACAGGTACTCGTTCTGTACACACTGAGGATGTCTCAGGGCTGAAACAGTTCTTTTGAAAAATTAAGCTGTAAACAATGTCAGGTGTTGGAAGTGTTTTGGTGGGTGGCATGGACACGGTGTTAAGACATGGCCTATAAGCCTAATTAGCTTAATTTTCATGTTTCTTAACACGTGGCAGATGAGCTTACTTAGGCCCACCTCATCCAAAATATTTTCTAACACGGCTTCTGGCTGCCTCATTGAATGCTGAATTGGTGCCCAGAGCTCTTAATTTTGCTCAAAGTAGATAGAAGCTTTCTTTCTCTTTTCCTTTTTTTTCTGTTTCTCCTAGCACATCTAATTACAGTTTTGTAGGTAGACAGCTCAGCCTTGTGGATTTTAAATGAATAAAAAATAAATGTCTATAAAATAAATCCACACTTTTTAGAGGCTGGCAGTATCAGCAATCCAGAAAAAGAACAGTCATGAATCTAGATAAAAATGAAGAAGATAGCCTGTTGGTGAAATAGCTGTAGCCGGCCGAGCCCAGGCACAGAACCACTACGAGGGAGAGAGTGGCAGGCTCGGATCTTTTTTTGTACAAAACACAATTCTAATGAGCTTCTCTCAGTCTCCGTTAAATTACAGGCAGCAAATTAGAAAGGAACAGAGGGTGGGACTGTACAGAAATAATGGATAACCTGGCTCTAAGAAGCACATATAAGCAGTCAGGAAGGAAGCAGTCTGGGCATCTTGAGTGAGGAGTCCTCAGCCTGACAGAAGAGCCAGTCAGGGGCATTCAGATCCCAGCCTGCTGCTCACTGGCTGTGTGACCTGGGCAAGGTGCTTGACTTCTCTGAGCCCATGTGCTCCTCTGAAAAGTGAAGTCAGTGGCTTGCTCAGGTTTTCCCTTGGGCCTGGACAGAGACTGCTCTTATCCTAGGAGCAAATGTGTATTCGTTTTTCAAAACCTGTCTCAGATGGCCTTGGGGCCCAGAGCACGGCAGGAAAGGAGAGGAGGCTCACCCGTCCCTCTGCCTGTTGTGAAGGACTTGGGGCTGAGCCGTTCAACGGCGGCCTGGGTTTCGTATGGAGTGGCACAGCTACGTCTACTCAAGAGCCTTGACACAAGGGTTTGAACAATATTTAACAAAAATTAATAAAACAGCCAGCTGAAAAAATTCAGCTTGGGTCTGACTTTTGCTGTTCCTAAGGATAGCCTTTCGTCATCAGAAAAAGGATAAATTAAGTTTAATAGGAAAATGCATAAAATATTTTAAGATAGTATATTATTCAAAATGGTTAGATAAGTTTTGCTGCTTTAAGGAATAGACTTGTCCTCTCAAAAATTTACTTGCAAAAACTTTTTTTAAAAATTCACTTACAGGAGGGGCCGGCCCCGTGGCTTAGCGGTTAAGTGCGCGTGCTCTGCTACTGGCGGCCCAGGTTCAGATGCAGGCGCGCACCAACACACCACTTCTCCGGCCATGCTGAGGCCGCGTCCCACATACAGCAACTAGCAGGATGTGCAACTACGACATACAACTATCTACTGGGGCTTTGGGGAGAAAAAGGGGAAAAAAACAAAAAGGAGGAGAATTGGCAATAGATGTTAGCTCAGGGCCAGTCTGCCTCAGCAAAAAGAGGAGGATTGGCATGGATGTTAGCTCAGGGCTGATCTCCCTCACCAAAAAAAACAAAAAATCACTTACAGGAGACACCTTATTCCTCGAAGAAACCAGCATCACTGTGTTTCCACAAATTTCCTGCCCTTCGGGTCAGGGACT